AAACAGCACTCCAGCCTCCTAATAACCTTAATCGCTCCTGACAGCCCCAAGAACCAGGTTTAACAACATGACTGGGCTTTGTTTGCTTTTCAGGCTGCTTTATCTCACACGGCACCTTGCAATCAGCTCAGGCAACAAAAACCCAGTTCCTCTAAAATTCACCCCTGTTTCCCTGTGGTCACAAGCTCCAGCTCCCAAAACAGAGGGAGCTGAGCTGAGGAAGAGCCTGGTGCTGGCACACTGGCATCCCACCATGGGAAACTCGCAGTAAAGCTGGGAAAGCTCCATGGTGCCCTTTGTGCTCCCCAGTTAGCAGGGCTGGGTAATAAAAACATAATTTTTATCTCTTTTTGCTGGATTTACATCCCCATCTGGGCTATGTAAATATTGTTCATGTCAGTGCATCCCTCCGTGGGATTAGGAGAAGAGTTGGAAACCCGGATGGACATGGGAGAGCCTCCAGGAATGCTGAGGTCCACAGCACCCTCAGTCAATGCATCTGTGAAACAGGGCCAGCACAGTTCCCTTGCAATTAATAAAAGTTCCAAATCCTGCAGATTTAGGTAAGAAGGTGACAACTACAGTGTTACCCTCAGGAGATGGGAGCCTCCCAAGCACCAGCACTGGGGCAATGACTCCCATGACAACTTCTTTGGGATCATTTCCAAGAATTAGCTCTTGCAATCAAATTCATCATGACCAGCATGTTGAGGGAAGGGATTCTCCCCCTCTGCTCTGGTGAGACCCCCTTCCCTGTTGAGTGCTGAATCCAGCTCTGGGACCACCAATGTAAGAAGGACATGGAGCTGCTGGAGCGAGTCCAGAGCAGGCCACAAAGATTCTCAGGGGCTGGAGCACCTCTTGCTCTGAAGACAGGCTGGGAGAGCTGGGGAGCAGGGAGACCTTAGAGCCCACTGGAGAAGGACTTTGGACAAGGGTCTGGAGTGACAGGGCTGGGGGGAGTGGATTCAGACTGCCAGAGGGCAGGGTTAGATGAGATACTGGGAAGGAATTCTTCCCTGTGAGGGTGGGGAGGCCCTGGCACAGGTTGCCCAGAGAAGCTGTGGTTGCCTCATCCCTGGAAGTGTCCAAGGCCAGGTTGGAGGGGCTTGGAGTAACCTGGGCTAGTGGGAGGTGTCCCCGCCCATGGCAGGGGGGTGAAACTGGAACTGGATGGTCTTCAAGGTCCCTTCAAACCCAAACCATTCTGTGATTTACCCTCATCTTGGGGTTTCTCTTCTCAGCTCCTCCAGCTTCAGCCATGCACATCCACCCTGGGATTCTTCTTCAGCCCAGAGAGGAGCCCATGGCTTCTCCTTCCTATATTTCATAAGACTGTTAGCACTGAAATGCTTTATTTTCTCCAAGAAACAAACTCACCAGTTCTTACCAAGCCTCCATTACAAACACTGGAGTAAAAATAGCCTTTTCCAGCTATGCTCACCTGTCCTAAGGATGTGAAATCAGTGCTTACAAAGAAACTCCCCACCAAAACAGATGGGAATTCAGGAATAAAGGTGACATCAGCCATGCCTTGGCCTCAAGATATGATAAGTCAAGGGCTATGGGCCATGCACCAGTCCAGTTTTCCTAGCATAGAGAGCTGCAGCAGCCTCATATCAGGAATTGGACTAAAGGGGGGAAGCTGCTCCCCAACTTCCTGCAGGGAACACATGGATGGACTCAGAGGAGCTGCAGCCAAAACAGACCAGCTCCTCAGGCCACCACTCCAAGTGCTTGCAGTTCCATTTCCAGGAATCAAAACATTAAATATTAAGCAAAGAGAGTTAATCTATACCTGGGGTATTGACACAAAGCGGAGGAGGGGAGAAGAAAAAGATAAACAGACTTTTTTAAAAAAAAAAAAAAAATCTGTCTGCCCTTGCAGGTTGTCCCGCTGGGGCCTGCCAGGCCTCGAGCATGGCTCCAAGGATGCTTTTGGGGGAATAAGGTGTACCAAGAAGTGTCACCCTCTCAGCTCTCCCCAGGAAGCCAGAGATCTGTTGGGACCCTCATGTGGCTCAGGTGCAAGTAGCACCTCCCTGGCTGAGGGCAAAGCCCTGGCCAGAGACAAGGTCACCCTGTGCTCACCTCTCCCAAGGCTGGGAAAGCATCAAAGTAGCGGCAGAGCAGACATTGATTTAAGAAGGTCAATGCCCAGTTAATGCTTACCAGGACTGTTCTGCCACTCAGATGGGCTTTTGGGGCTGGGAAAGACGAGCATGCTGGGATGGCTCATCTGTGCCTTGGCTCCTTGTCAGCCTGCACCTCGTGGGACCAGCACCGGGATGGCCTTGCCCCATGGATCCCTCAGCACCAGAATGAGCCTCGTACAACCAGAGGGAAATGCCACCATTCATCTCCCAGCAAACACTCTCCAGCATCACTCAACACCTCTCCAGCAAAGCAGAATGAGATTTTTTTTTTCCTGGTTGAGTGCTTACATGTATATTATTTTTTTATTCTAGTCACAGCATTCCTCCGCTCCCCTGAAAGAAAACAAACCCGAAAGCACAGAGTGTGCCTTGCAAAGGTCCCGCTCCGGTGTCCCACGGGGAAGGGGCACGCGGTGGTCGCAGCAGCCCGCCCGCCCCAGCCCGCCACTGCTTGTTGATATAGGCAGCACAGTATATTTCTTTAAAGAACCCAGCCTATGCATTCGATGCATTGCTGCGAGAGGGTTTGTTTTCAAAGCCTGACCCCAGACCTGAACTCCACAGATCCTGCGTTTCTCAAGATCAAACGCGAGAAAACGTGACCAATGCAAACAAGAAATAAACCTTGATAATTATAGCCGGGGCGGCTATTGTTTAGTGCAGACTAGCACCCGCTTTAGCATAAACATAACCCTATTTTTAAAGGGATGCCTGAACAGCTGACAGCATTACTCCCCATTTTGCCTCCAAATCCCCTCTTTGATACAAACCCACCTCCCTGAGACCAGAGAGGAGAGTTAAGATCAGACACAAAAGGCTAAGCCATGCCCACGGCCATAATGGATGCCTGTGTGGGAGCAGGGAGTTGATCCTCATCCCTACAACCTGCTCCCAGCTGGCAGAGGATGAGGGGCACCCTGGGGTCCGGCTGTTGCCTGCAGCTGGCAGGATCAGACTGACAGAGGAAAAACAGACAGCACCGGTCTTTTCAGGAAGGCCATATCACTTAGCGCTTGGAAAGGAGCTACAATATTTTCCTGATTATGTTTGCACGCAAACGAGCGCCGCGGGGAAATTATGCAATGCTGAGCGGGGAGGGGTGGGAGTGAGGGAGGAAGGGCTGGAGGGGGGCCCCGTGCTGCACCCCGCTGCCCTCAGCCCCAGCCCGTGCAGCTGCAGCCCCGGAGGTGCCACAGATGGGCTCCATCACTGCCGGAGCCCCCGCACCACCACCCCCCGCACGGAGGCAGAACAGGCAGGGGTTATTAACGGTCTCTTCATTAAGCACCCAGACCAAAATGCATATATTCATCACCCAAGCAATTTAATTACCGAGTCCAGGCTCACCTTGCACACCCACATGCCTTTCTTTTTCGAGGCCTCTGTGCGGTCATAGCCTTAAATAAATAGGTGGCAGGAGCAAGAGGCAGATGCTGACTCTTACAGCCTCTGTCTTGGGCACAGAGCCTTTGAACCACCAGAACTCGCAGTATTTAATTTCTTTTGTTACTGCTTGTACCTTTAGAGCTCTGCCTTAGGCTTTCTAGATACGATCACAGGGAGGAGGAAACAGCCAGCTACACGATGAGCTTTCTGGGCATCACACGCGTGCACACACACACTCACAGCCCATCAATCACCCTAATTATAACCGGCCACAGCTCTCAGCACACCCCGTTACTGCCCGTTATTACACGCTCACAGCGTTTCTCTGGTAACAGTATCACAGAGTTAATTTGTGATCTGTAAATGTGGTGTATCTTGTAATGAATTTCATCCCGGCGCGCTCACCGTGCGCTCACCAGTCATGCGTCGGCCAAGGGAGGGAGCGCAGGCAACACTGATCCCCAAAATAAGGCTTTAAGATTCTCACACACCCCTGACACTCCTCTCTCTGCAATACACGCCTGGTTTGGTTTCTGGCTGCTGCCCACATCCCATCTGGAGTCAGGACAGTACCACAAGCAGGCTCCCTCAACATCAAGTGCTTGTCTCCGCCCGGCAGATAAAAGCGAGGTGGGCCATGGGTGTCCATGGCAGGGGTGGATGTGATCTTTTGGGGAGGACAGCAGGACCTGGGACAAGGCTGGGCCTCCTGACACTGGTGTCCGGCTGGGACCAGCACCCCAGTAGGCTGGTGTCCCTCTGCCAAGTCTACTTCAACAGGGGGGTCTTGGCAGCAAGAAACTTCCTCTTCTCCATGTTAACACTACCCAGTCGGCATCCTGGCCAAGCTTGAAGGTCCTACCAAAACACACAATTGGATGCAGTCGGTGGATCTTGCTTTTAAGGGATATTAAGTGCTGGAGACCCCGCGCTGCCCTCGGTGTGACCACGCAGGCAGTGCTGCCAGCCCTGCCCTCCGCCGGTTTCCCACTGAATGGATTCGCTTGGAGGAAGCATGTCGGCGAGGCAGATGCTCTTCTGCAGCCACCCACGGCCAATAAGGCAGACAGACATAAAGCTTGAAACCCCATAAAATATAGCAATAATAATGAAAACTAGAGGGGGTGGCTCACACCCAGCAGCTGATTCACCAGCTCTGCTGTCCTTACCCCAAGACACCCCGGCAGGACAGGCTAAGGGTGTGCTTTTCACCGAATTACTTTTAATTGAGTACATCGGAGCTTAGAAACACATGATGCTGCCAGAGATAAATATAGCCACGGCTACGAGGATAGAGGGGGCAGGGAGTAATCGCAGTTCAACACAGCCGAGAAGGAGCTTCCAGCTCTGGGAGGCAGCGCCGGCCGCGCCGCTGCACCTTCCCCGCACCTTCCCCGCCCCGCTCGGGCACCCCCGGCCCGCCCTGCCCGGCCCAGGGAAGGGGCCATGGAGCCATACCTGTTTTAAACTCCAGCGCCGGGTCCTTCTCCCCCTCGCCCAGGTCGCTCTGCAGCATCATGTAGAGGATCCCGAAGGAGTTGTTGATGCCGAAGATGGAGCCGTTGCACCAGGCGGCGGCGAAGACCACCACCCAGCCGAAGCCGCCTTCGCGGGGCTGGAAGGGCGCGGCGGCCCCGCTCGGCCACCGCTCAGTCCCAGTCCCAGTTCCAGTCCCAATCTCAGCCTCAGTCCCAGTCCCAGTCCCAGTCCCAGTCTCAGCCTCAGTCTCAGTCTCAGTGCCGGCCCCGGCCCCGGCCCCAGGCTCGCTCTCTCCCGCCGCCGCCGGCACCTTCTCGTCGCGTTGCGCCATCGCGGCCCCGCTCCGGCCGCCGCCCGCCGCCCGACTGCCCCGCAGCCGGTCCCACATGCCCGCCGCCCCCCCCGGCCGGCCCCCCCGCCCGCCCCCTCCTGCCGCAGCCTCACTCCCCGCCTCCCCTCCGCCGCCTCCATCCTCCTCCTCCTCCTCCTCCATCGTGCCTCTCGGCTCCCGCGTCCCTACCTGCGGCGGGGGCCGCCCGCCCCCCTGCGCCCCCCTCCCAGCCCCCCGCGGGGTTCACAGGCGGCCCCGGGCCCGGCCGCGGCCCCGCATCGCCCGCCGAGCCGC